GCGCACAGGGCATGGGGACGGCATGGGGACGGGGATGGGGACAGCATGGGGACGGGGAGCGTACATGGGCATGGGGACAGCAAGGGGACAGCGATGGGGACGGCATGGGGACGGGGATGGGGACAGCATGGGGACGGGGAGCACGCACAGGGCATGGGTATGGGGATGGCATGGGGACAGGGAGTGTGCATGGGCATGGAGATGGGAATGGCATGGGGACGGGAATGGAGACGAGGACAGCACCAGGACGGAGAGCGTGCACAGGGCATGGGGACAGGGAGGGCATGGGGACGGGGAGGAGGATGGGGACAGCATGGGGACAGGGGCAACACGGGGAGGGGCATGGGGACGGGGACGGCACAGGGACAGGAACGGGACACAGGTATAGGGACAGGGACGGCATGGGGAGGGGCAAGGGGACGGGGACGCCACCGGGACGGGGAGTGCGCATGGACATGGGGACGGGGACGGCATCGGGAGGGGGATGGGAACGGGGATGGGGATAGCTTGGGAACAGCGAGTGGCCGGCACGCTGCTCGCGGCCCTGGCACAGGGATGGGGACAGGGACCGGGATGGGGACAGCTCAGGGATGGGGATGGGGATGGCATATGGCAGTCAGCAGCTGGCGTGCTGCTCATGGCCCTGGCATGGGGATGGCTTGGGGATGGAGACAGGGATGGCATAGGGATGGGGATGGGAATGGGGACGGGGACAGCATGGGTACGGTGAGCAGCAGGCACGCTGCTCACAGCCCCGGGCACGGGGATGGCACAGGGATGGGGACGGCTTAGGGACAAGGATGGGGGTGGCATGGGGACAGTGAGCGGCCGGCATGCTGCTCATCGCCCTGGGCACAGGGATGGCATGGGGATGAGGACGGCTTAGGGACGGGGATGTCTCAGGGATGGGGCTGTCTCGGCTACGACGATGACTGTGGGACAGGGACGGGGATGTCCCGCGGCCAGGGATGTGTTGGGGATGGGGACAGGACTGTCTCGGGGACGGAGATGTCTTGGGTCAGGGATGTCTTGGGTCGGGGAAGTCTCGGGGTCGG